ATATATATATATAAAATATATATATATATATGTATATATATATATATCATTAAAATTACTATGTATACATCATTAAATTTAGGTTTTGCTGAGTAACACTGTAAACACATGGATAAAAATAATAATACGTGATCTAAACATCTCTGGTTTAGGCGAGACTTTTTTATACCTTGTTTGGTGAACAAGGATATGTATATATAAGATATGTATATTTCTTCCTAATTATATAAATTTCAAGCATTTGACCATTCCATTACTACACTGTATACACTGTATACATTTACCAATAGAGTTTGATTTTTATTTTCTCCTCCGTCTGGATAATTTTGGCAAAACTATTTGCTAAATAAGAAAACAAAAATTTAAAACAAAAAAATATGTTCGCGAAACAAGGAATAAAGAAAGTCTCGCCTTTACACAATATATGTGTGTACCTGAAGTGTGTACATCCATGGTAGCCATACGTTGTCCCCCCAAGCCAGCATCCAACCGAAGTGATCATGATGTATATCGATGGTGTTCAGGTACCAAGCCTCGTTCCAGAAGAAATCCACCACATAGATGGCATGCAATATATTTACAATCATCATCGAGTTGGTTACATGACCGTAGAGCTCGTATTGTTTAGCAGCATATGATAAATTTATAAGTGTCCATGCGCATATTCCAGGTCGACCATTGAAGAACAATTTAAAGTCGAACCATTTACCAAACCGAGGGTTAAATTCAGTACCCATCACATAATCATACAATATATTCCCGCTAAAAACGCAATCGGCAGCAGACGTTGGAAAAAACCACGCCTTTACAATGGCATATATAGCAACGACGTTCCCAATTATGTTCGCAAGCCATAGCATAGATCCCCAGTTGTCGAAGATGATGGTTGGAGAGAACCAGTGAAAGTAGAACGCGTTTGCGAACCACAAGGTGTTGGATATTATCCAGGCTTGAAGGCCATTGATGTGGTAGAACATCTGGATTCCTGATGGCGTGATGGTGCCACGGCAGCGTCCACCGCGATAGCTGGGCAGAATGTAGCCACATGCATCAGGAAGGTAATAAAGAAACACCTGGTAATTAAAAAAAATGAGGCAATGACCTATAAAGACCAATATTAGATCAATCATCTATGGTAATAAAATGACGATATGAATATGATAAGATGTTGAAACGATGATACTGATACACAAAATGGTGAAGCAGATTTCCAAATATAGAAACGGAAAAGAAGAAGAATATAATACGGTATGAGACATAAGATAAATGTGAAAAATAGAATGAGGACAAAAGTGCGGAGGAGGAAGAAAATAATACACTTGAGACTTGGTAGCAGGATGGGGATGAGTAGGAGGAGGAGGAAGAAGAAGAAAAAGAGAAAAAGACAACCATACAAAGCAGAAGAATTCATACATTTATTTATTAGGTCAAAAGTTACATGAAAATCACAAAAAAACTTGTTAAAACAGATGTCGCAAAATAGCATATGTTTAGAACAATTTAGAACAATTGAATAAATGTGTAAAACATTGTAATAAACGGTTAAACAAATTAAGGGGAATGAGAGGCATATGAAGAAAATGCTAAAGAGGATAAAGAAGATGAAGAATGAAAAGCTGGAAGGAAAAGAGGAAGAAGAGGGGGGGGGGGGAAAGAGATGAGCAAAATGAATAAAAGTAATTTACAGCGTAAATGAAAAAAGACAAGCTACAGTAGTTGCACTAGAAACTTGGTCCTTACCTGAAAAGCATACCACGGAATAATTATTTTGAAAGCATTGATGGTCAGGAAAGGTGCTTTCTCCCAGAAGTCCATTACTGTCATCTTCCCATTATAGAACTGTAACAGAGGAGTACTCAGCGAACATTCAAAGTGACTGCAAGCTACGAAGAAGTACAACACCATAAGCGGCGTTGTCGTCAACAGGAGTAGTACACAAACTGCACCTAAAAGGTCCACTTCCCTGTTAAAATATATCCAAAATATTAGACGTACCTACCAGTGGCGTATCCAGGGGGGTCAAGGGGTTCGGAAGAACCCCCCCCCCCCCCACTGTGAAGAAACGTAACAAAATACAACTGGGTTCTGGCTTACAAAAATGCATGCTAACCCTAGAAAGTACAGACAAACCACGCTTAGCCCAACTTGTTTTTAATTTAAAAAAATTATACACACTGTTTTTGGTTCACTGCCGTCGTAATAATTTATGTACGAAAGTGCGTTCTTCAGGCCTATCGGGTCATCTATCCATGGAAGAAAGACTACATATCTAACTACTCAATGTTGTTGGAATATAATAATATATTGCCTGTCTTTGATTTTTTTCCCTCTATGATAGGCCTAGGGAATGAGATAAAATTACCTGACCTTTTTTCAAGAGGGGGAAAACCTTGAATTTTGAAGAACTTAATGGTCATTAAAAGGCTCCTCAAAAGTCGGGAAAGCTCATTTCCGGCCATCTAGGAATCAAAATTTTCCCCCTTTCATTTTGGGGTTTTTGAAAACATTTTGAACCCCCCTCTTTTAAATCCTGGATCCGCCCCTGCCTACCCTAGGCCTCCATGACTGTAGATTATGATGACGAATGAAAACGCATCTTTGCCTAGGCCTAACTAAAATCATCGCCAAACAGGCAGTTGGTGTTTATACGGACGGGGGAGTGGGAAGAGTACGATCAGTAAGTCCCCTTATTCTTCCGTGCCCGCATCAGCTCCCATGTCAAAGTGTGATCTTTCCCACCAGGCCTATCGTTGTTCTCTATAATTTGTCTATAATTTAGGGCCCTATGCCTGCCCTAGGCTAGGCCCTAGAGGGTGGATATGGATGCTGAACGGAACCATCTTATTCTTACCATGCTCGTCCCCATTTACCAGGTTGACGTCCATCATCAGCTTTCACGTCACCGTTTTTTTCTCCGCCATTTTGTGACTGCAACACTGTTGATGACAGCGTACCATTTCTAGCTCTATTTGGCATAATTCTGGAGAGAAGTAATAATAAATTGAATGTTGGTGTTTGACACGGAATATTCTAGCTCTATTGTTGCAAATCACCCGCGTATTAATTTGCGCATCAGTCAGCGTGCGTATTATTCAGCCTACGTACGCGCATGACATTGACTTGACTTACTGTACCCAAGAGAGGAACCATCTTCAGTTTTGTTATTATTTTTAAGGATTTCCTCAAAAACGTAACATATAAAAGACGTTTGAAAAGGCCTACTAGTGTTTAAATCCCAAAGTCAAAATCTGAGCCAAAGAACGATTAAATTATAACTACAGTAGGTTATTTTAACTGATTTCGCTCGAAAATTAAAACGGTGGTTAACCAATTAACATAGCAACGCATCACAGCAAGTAATCACAGGATTGAGAATCAGGATGTTTAAGTTTTCAATTAATGCAAGCCTTACCAAAATAAGCACTTAAAAGCAAATTAAACCATGAAGCTAAAAGAAGATAGCTCGGGGTTGGACTGCCGTTGTCACTCAAATTATCAAGCTTATTAATCGTATGCCCACACTGACTACAGAACATAGGCCTAAATAAACTTTAATTATAATATTTTAAACATATACCACCGCAAGCCTATTACAAGATAATAACCTACAGAAAATTCAATAAAGCTATAGACGCTTTATATCAAAGTAGGATAATAAATGTTTATGTTTTTATATAGATCCATATGCATAGTAAGTGGGAATTGAATTCGCATTTGTTTACATAATTCTTATCGGTCCTATTTATACAGCACATTAGATTGGCTCTAAACATTAGATTTGTTGTTGTTAAATAGCCATTATATAAATATCATAATGATGCTTACTACTTTTTATGATACACAATGCGTATAATAAAATGAAAGTTAATTACCAGTAGGCCTAAAGAAAATTAACCTTATAAAACAGGAAACTTCTCGTTAGATTAACTTTAAAAGGAACACTAAGCAATAATCATATCTCTTTGAAAATTGGGGCTATAAATATTCTAAAGGTTGTTAACCTGAACCTTTACTAACAAACTGTAAGTTAACCGTATCATAAAATCTAATCATCTCTTCCATTGGTTGATAGGAAACAACAATCAGATCATTTCTCTGAAATGTTCGATGTGCAATAATATAATCAAAGTCATTGACATAGACAGTATCAGTTTACTAGGCTTAATATACAAAAGATGACACTACTATAATAATGCAATATCTGATTGACGTAATGGGAATAAATTAGTAATCAACCCATCTTTGAAAATAAGGCCTAACTATTAGAGATCGCAGTAGGCGGTTTAAACCACAAGATTTACAACAAAGAGGTTAAGATTTCGATATACGCACGTCAATCCGTACTACCAAAATTGTATGCCTAGGCCTACAGTAGTCAAGGAAACATGCGCGTATTACTGATTGTTAATCCAGTTTTTAATGTTGACTCTCCATAAAGTTCAATTGAATATCAGACGGCAAATATTTTCTCGCCAATTAAAAGACGCGTAAACCTGTCTGGGACATGCGCGTATTCCTCACTATTTAGATTCGTCTGCTGTTAAGTTTGGTTCTCCGCAAAGTTTTGAATATCCAATGACAAAATATTCTTTCTCGCCAATTTTCACGCATTTATTATACCATTTCTAAATCAGTGAATAAATCATATCAAATACCTTTATTTCAGATTTCTCCATATAAAATAAAATTACAAGAAAATATATAGGCCTAAAAATGAAAGTAAATAAGCCTAAATATACAAATAAATACAATTCTTTGTGAACAGCGGAGTAAATTGAATGGCCGTCAATATTAGAGATTTTAAGGAATGGTTAGATTTATATTTTAATGTTTTGTAGCAATAGGCCCCTATTATAATATTCAGGCACGTTTTATTTTCTATTGGGTGGGTGCGAATTTGTAGAAAGTGGACCAAAATGGCTCCTGAGTGGGGGCGCCCTGGGGAAAAACTGGGATCAAGGTGGCGGAGCTCAGGCATTTTTGATAATTTTTTAGGTCTTATTTAATCGATTTCCGAACGGTTTTCAGTGGCGGATCTAGGAATTTGAAGAGGGGCCATGGAGGGACTTTCACAGATGGAAGAAATAGCACCTCAGCCCACCATGGTTGGGCCGGGGCTGAAGAAAGAAAATTATGATTATGGCACCTCTAAATGACCGGAAATTATATCATTTTCTTTTTTCCCCAATTATTTTTTTATTTTGAAAACTTGAGAGGGGACGGGAGGAATGGTCTTCCTTGAATCCACCACTGTTAGTGGCGAATCTGGAACTTGAAATAGAGGGGGCGAGGGAAGGACTTTCACAGATTGAAGGTCTATAAAACCACCATTGTTGGGGCTAAGGTAAGAAAATTTATGATTATGGCACCACTAGATGGCCGAAGTTGGCACTCTGAGACTTAAATTTGAAATAAATTTCTTTTCTTTTGTTAAATAATTTAGAGAAATTTAGTGGGGGGGGGGTTGATTTTTTCTACCCTGGAAAATGTGAACCTTTGGTAATTTGGTGGGGGTAGGGGTGTGTTTACGCACCCGTCACACCCCTCCCCTTTCGCAACGGGTCTGATATTAGATCTTTAAATTTATGGTTTCACCCCATCCCCTGTCCCCTCTGTGCTATCTCCCGCACCCCACCATAGTCAAAACACCGCCCCTGCGCAATTCAAAATGCACGCGACTGCCTGGTTATGTCACGGCATAGCTAATGTAATTAATTGGGACAGATAACAGGTTTATAGATTGCTGTCATCGTTACGATCTTGTCTTTTAAGCTCTGACCAGGCTATCAAATTTTCTTTGATAAAAACTGTTGTATGCCCATATATAGTTATGATGTACATGTACCCATATATGGTGAAGATGTGATGCTATCATAACCATATTTAGGCATGTCTCACGTGTTTTTGTCAATTATAATGTGATAGTCGTTACAATATTTTCTTTTAGGAGAACAATTTGAAATTGGAAAGGAAAAACTGCTTCTATAGAATTTTTTTAAATTAATGTATTCACAACATAATATAATATAATACAATATAATTTAATATAATATACCGGAATATAAGAATATCATGAGATGTAATATGCCAACTAGATTTCCCAGTCAGTGGCTGCCAATAACTGTTACATTTTCAGTGGCTAAATCTATTATTATTATTATTATTATTATTATTATTATTATTATTATTATTATTATTATTATTATTATTATTATTATTATTATTATTATTATTATTACAGTATTATTATTATTATTATTATTATTATTATTATTATTATAGGCCTACCTGAATAATCAATGGGAGTCGATAGTAAAATAAACGTTCATAGAATCTATGTTGAAACATTATATTCTACATTAAACTTTTTACGGTAATGATATTAACGATTATTTTAATCTTTATTATTCTGATAATAATAATAATAATAATAATAATATAAATCATCATTATTATTAATTATTATTTTAATGATCCTGTATAAATTTCAGCATCTACTGGTAAAGGAATAACATTATTTTGTAGGCTTATTTCCATATACGCGACAGATACTGTATGAGAAATGTTGAATCATCGTATAACTCGACGGAAACAAGCATTTTATGAGGTCTATTTCCATAATCATTCTGAACTGCGTTGTGCTATAACAAGTCCTTGGTTATGTAAAAATCGGTTTACTTTCGGGATCGAAGTGCTTCAGTTTATGACATATTCTAGAACATAACGGCAGCAGCTTTACAATTAATGTAATAAAATTTATAATTCATTTATGATATTGTTTTTACTGCCACAAAGTAAGTTTTATTAGATGCTTGAACCTGCTTGAACCAGCCATCATCCGCATTCAATATAGTCTCTGCCCTGTGGTTTTAAAATGCATTTAATGATGCGTTGATATTTTTGTTTTCCAGAAAAAATCACTATCCGTAATATGTTATTTTCTTTGTAAAAAAACATATCCGTAATATGTTTTTTTACAAAGAAAATACAATACTTATGATACGAGTCAAGGACTCTTTGCCTCTTTGTCTAGGAGCCTATCCCACTTCTCCGGCCTAAATATTACTTTTTTTATTTTGATTAATTTATTTACTTCAATTAACGTTTCAAACCTACTAAAAGAAAACATGATACTCACCTACTTTTTATTAATATCTACCACAGATCCTATATCTACCTAAGAGACGAAGATGCTGCTATATTTAAACCCGGAATAGACCATTAGTAGCACATGTCAGTTGTAATAATTACATCTGCTTTATTGTCTTTTACGATTATGTATGCTTCTTCACACCAGACTTACAAATTAGCGCCCTCAACGTCACCACTTAGCAGTTGTCCAACTGTTCATTTTTCGCAGTTGAAGCTGTGATTGAATAAGTTCTGATTTGATTGTTTGACTCATCTCGCAGCTGATGAGCCTGCGCATTCCCGCAGGTCCATCAATCCACTGGACCTCTAATTGCTTTATGCATGCTATGTAATGGCTTTCGCATCAATATTTTCCTATACTATTTTCACGAAGGGACTCTCCTGGGTGGAAGCCATACCTCGAATGCTTTCTCACGTCACTGATGGTTAAATCACAGCTGGTAGGCCTATACCCGGCATCACATGTAGGCCTACTTTAATTTCGGATGCCATGGCATCATGTATGTAGCAAAATAATACAGGCCTACTTAAATATGATTAAAGCTAATTCAAGAAGAATACAGTAGAACCCCTCCTTTGGGACACCTATATTCTGGGGACACTTTTCCGTGAAACGAGGGGCGATATATCTTTCAACATTGCGGCCAACCACTATTAGAGGACACCCCTATTAAGGGAACGGGGACACTTATTTTTGTCTATTGTATCACAATACAGATGTTTCAAAATAAGTAATAATAATAATAATAATAATAATAATAATAATAATAATAATAATAATAATAATAATAATAATAATAATAATAATAATAATAATAATAATAATGA